AGACGGAAATATAATAAAAAAGTGACAAAAGTGTTATAGTTTTAAAATTATCACGAAAAAACTGGTTTTATAACCTTAAAATTTCATTAAAGTTAAACGCTGCTCGATCTAGATCGTAAACATATAGTTTTTATAGTGCATAAAGAAGCGCCCTGATGAGCTTAACAGTTTAAGCCACTCATCGGAAATTTTCGACTTCAGCGCACCGAAATATTTTCGGAAAACAAAAACCACGTGGACACGTGTTTTTTGATTGGAGGCCGTGCGGCTGAGTTTAACATCGCGTAATCAAAGAGGGCATCGAGGCAATTCATCCGACACCTCGATCATCAAAATCGGACCAGAAATACCGGAGATACCACGCCTTGAAGATACCGACTCTCAGGAGGGACATTCAAAGGTGAATTACTCTGGTTTTTCAGTGACGACATATGTATATATTGAATTTAATTAAAAGAGGAACTTAAGTTTTAACAAATTATATAAACATTTTTAATTTTGGAGTGTAATTAATAATTTTAAGAAAAATTTTAAAAATTGTCAAAAACACGTGGGCCCTGAAAAACACTCCTGAAAATTCTGAAAAAATTAGGGAATATTTCTTAACCTTTATATATCATCCCAGAATTATTTCAAAATTTTTACATCAATAGTTCACAAATTAGAGGCTTTTTGCGGTTGTTGGTTTTCGTAACACAACTTTCAAAATTTTAAAACTCAAAAATTTTTCAGGAATAAAAATTTACTAATTGCAATTTATAATACAGCAACTAATACTATATCTATATAAATTTTTTTCAGAATTTTCGGATAAGTCGTTTTAGAGCTATAAATTTATTTGTGTGAGCTGGGAGATCCTGAAAACCGCACGATAACTGTGTTTTCAGTTTTCAGGGAAACGGAGCCTCCTAGCTCAATTTTGACAATTTTTTCGGGGCCCCCCCCGTCACCCCCCCCCCACACTATCCAGTAAGCCGGATAGTCTTCGACCCCCACCGGATCATTTGGACATAGTTTCAACCCCCTACCCCTAAGTTGACCTCTGGACTTGGAGACCGTGGACTCAAACTGTCTCTGGGGGTTGAAAAACTTCTAACACCTAAAACACAAAAACCGGTGGGTCTAGTCGAACGGGGTTTTTTGTATAAATATATAGATTAGCAGAACCTTAAAATTATATGTACATAAACTCTACGTAGAGCCATAAAATTTTTATATATATTTTTTATTTTTTATATCCTATTTTCTATAACTTTATAAAGATTCGTTTTATGTTACATATAATTTAACTCTACAATCTCTCTTAGTGTAAATAATTAGAAACTAGGTGTGACCAGTTGTAGTTTAAATTAATTGCTATTTTTAAGTTAGAGTATAGAGACAACCCCAGATAGAGAACCTGACAGAGCCGGACTCTTGATAGAGCCGGGCTCTTGATAGAGTCGGACTCTTTATAGAGCCGGACTCTTGACAGAGCTGAATTTTGATGGAGCCCGACTCTTGATAGAGCCGGACTCTTGGTGGAGCCGGACTCTTGAAAGAGCCGGAATTTTTTGTAGAGCCGGACTCTTGATAGGAGGAGTCAAGAAATTGTTTCAATAATTTTATATTACCTCTATTTTATTGTTCTACATAGAGTCACACGGATAGTCTGGTAGAGTTGGACTCTACCTTATTTTAATTTTGACTAGTTTTATTTTATAGTGACACAGACCCCCCTTTACAGGGTCTAACAAATATTTACATACAAACCCCCCTTTACAGGGTTTCACACAGGGACATAGGTGACACAGACCCCCCTTTACAGGGTCTAACAAAACATTTTACACACAGACCCCCCTTTTACAAGGTTTTACAAAGAGACAACGTTCCCCGATTACACAACCTACACAAACACCGTACTCATACACACACACACACAAACCATGTATCGCACACCCACTACCTCTGGCGCTGCCAAAAAGCCCACCACCCCCAGCCCTGCCACCACAACAGCAGCAGTACAGGATGCTGCTAGAACTTTTATCAAGAGACCGGAAGCTAAAAGAAGATCGCTCGACAATATGGATATTTATAAAAGACAAAAAGACAACTACGCTGCATTGTCGAGCGATCAGCTCCTCCAGGAGATGATGAAAACCTTTGAGGATATACCCTCAAAGGTACAGGAGTACCCTCAGATGAGGAAGGACATCAAACATTTCCTGGAGGTGCAGTCCGACAAGGGCATAAGAACAATATTCGAGCTTAGCAGAAGAATACAAAGTCTTGAAGCAGAGGCCTTAAAAATAAGATCACCGGAAAAAACCTTGTCGTCCAAAGGGCTTGAAAACATCATGGAGAAACTGGGGGAGGTGGAGGACTCATTGTTAGGGCGTATGAAAGAAATGGAGGAAAGTCTCAAAGCAGACATTGAGGGACTTTCAAACGCAAACGACGACCGAGGCTCTGACATGATCGACAAGATCATCGATAGGATTGATGAAACCAGGGCTGCCATAGACGAAACTACCGAAAAGGTCGAGAGTCGAACGCATGCTCTGGTTAAAGATCTTATCGGTGGTATTGCCGATGATGTCATCGCAGCCAAAAAAGACCTCATGGAGGTCACAAAAGGACTGGTATGTGAAATAAACACACAGCACCGGTCCTTAAATCATATGCTAGCGTCGTAGCAACAAAACCAGCTCATCGCCCTGCATTGCACTCTATGGCGGTCACCTTAGAAGGTGGTCTGGAGACTGCTGACGAGGTGCTCGCCAGAGTGAAAAAAGCGGTCGACGCCAGGGGTACTGGCCTTAAAATCAACAAACAAAAATCAAAAAATTATTTTGGGGTGTGACACCGAAGACGAGAGGAAAAAAGTTCAGCAAAGAATTGAGAGTCGCGGGGATGGACTCATAGTAGAGCCCATAAAAAACAAAGATCCTCTCGTCATCCTGAAAGATGTCATTATAGATAGTGAGGATGAAGATACAATTAAGGCGCTTCACGCCCAAAACAAAGATGTTTTCTTTGGCCTAAATGAAAAGGATATGGAGATGACTGTAAAATACAAAAAACGGACAAGAAATCCGAGGACAGTCCACATCGTTCTACAGGTTAAGCCTAACGTGTGGCAGAGGATGACGGAGGCTGGAGCCCTCTATCTGGACCTTCAAAGGGTCAGAGTGGAGGACCAGTCCCCGCTCATCCAATGCACGAGATGCTTAGCGTTTGGACATGGTCGGAAATTTTGCACCGAGAGTGTGGACAGATGTAGCCACTGTGGAGGACCGCATCTCCGCGAGAAATGCGCAGACTTTTCCGCAGGGAATGAACCACAGTGCTGCAACTGCTCACACTCTGGGTTGCGGAGGACCGACCACAACGCATTTAGTGCTGACTGCCCGGTACGAAAAAAATGGGACTATTTGGCCCGTGCAAACACGGCCTATGCATGAACCATTTGCACCAAACTACACTACACGTACAAACAGACATAAAGCATACAGGAACACAAACACGACACACACAAACATGAAATACACGACAAATGAACACAAACTGATATACAGAATGTATATTGAATATACACGATTGTATCAGCACAGTAACACTTACATGAATCACAAACACAAATACAAACAAATAAAAAAGATGAAATAAAACTAGCAAAAGAAACGGACAATATATATATATATAAACTTTGTATATATATTTTATTGCCTAGGAAATGTGACTAAAATATAAAAGGGAGTAGAAAATCAGACACAAGACAATTCACCAATCCTGTTGTATCCAAATTGTTAATTGCAAATGTTTAAAATAAATAGATATAATTTCTTACTGCTGTACAGATAATAAATATTAGAATAGAATTAAGAAACGGCAATGAAATGTTAGAAATAAGAAGTAGTAATTAAGAAATAATGATAAGTACAATAGTTGTAAGTCAAAAAATATGTAACTAAGTAAATTTGCAAGTAAATAAAATAAGTTTGTAGTATGTAGTGTAGTAATAGGAAAGCATAAATATTGTATGTGTAAAGTGCAAGTACCAGAAATAAATAAAATGTACGAAACTTTATTTCCCAGAGAAAGAAAAAATAGGCATAGGGTAGCGGGAGTCCCACCCGGCAAAGAATGAATGTGGATGTATAAAAGAAAGAATAAGTATGCGGCCTGAAAGTGCGAATACATGCGAGAACTGGTATGTATGAGTAATATAGAATAATAAGGACCCGATGATCCCATGATCGGGGAAAAGCGTTAAAAAAAAAAAAAAAAAAAAAAAAAACCTAACCTAACCTAACCTAACCTAACCTAACCTAACCTAACCTAACCTAACCTAACCTAACCTAACCTAACCTAACCTAACCTAACCTAACCTAACCTAACCTAACCTAACCTAACCTAACCTAACCTTTTTTTTTTTTTTTTTTTACGGGGAAATCCTCATGGACTGCCTCTGCCTGGGGACAGGCGGAGGGGTGTGCCGGACTCTTACCGTTGCTAAAACCACCCCGGTGTCTCAACCTAACCTAACCTAACCTAACTTTCTAACCTAACCTAACCGATTGTAAAAATTCCCTGGCTGCCCTGAAATATTTAATTAGTTTAGTCTTATTAGTTTACTGTGTTTTCAAGCCATTTCGGGCGATATTTCTAATTTAAATTAAAAATTATTGTTTTTGAGAAACGTAATATATCAAAATTTTTCGTCTATATTAAAATTTTACAAATCTCTTCCGTTTTTGCTCCTATCAGGTCCACCTTACTCCACAACCGCCGTATCAGCCAAAATCTGCAACAATAAACGTAGAAATTAGCAAAATTTTTTACTAATTTTACATTATAACATTAAAAAAATACATGGTCCCCCTCTGGCTGTTTTTTTTTTTTTTTTTTTTTTTTGCTTTTTCGGGGTTTTTTTCGCCCTCCCACCCACCCTGTTTTCATTACTAAGGTAGATTCATATATATAAATTTACAAAAGTCTCTTATTTACAAAAAATTAAAATGAGTTCAGTGCCAGGTAACGTAAATAGGTCCGAAGAGCAGCGGAAACGTCCCACTTTACAGAATATTGCAACCAAAGAGAAACCAAAAGAAATACACACTCGGAAATCCGATGTACTAGAAATAGCTGTAACAGCGATGTCTAAGGCCAATAGATTATATCAGGACGCTAAGTTGCAGCTAGAGCAGTCTGGAAACTTAAAGACTTCCATAAAAGAGACGGTGGTAAATAACCTTTCTGAACTCTTTGGAATCGTATTACAGTTAAACGAAGAAAGGCAGACTCTACTCCTACAATTGGAGAAAGCTCGTATACAACTTAAAGACGATCTACTTAGGCAAGAAAAACAGTATGTAGAGAGCCTTAGAGCACTAATGGATCAGGGTAGTATAAGAGATATTCAGTCTGCTCTCACCGAAACAGTGAGTGATATGAGAACCCTAACGGACTCATTGAAGCACACGATGGGCAATGACACCTTATTGGATAAACATACTTTTATGGGCAAATCGGAGGATACCAGAAGGGAACTGATGGAAATAAAAGAAGAATTATCATCCCTAAAAGACCAAATGGGTGGACTTCGAGAGTCTTTAGTTATAAGCGAAACAAATGAACCCACATATGCCAGCATAGCTGGTCGACCTAAGGCCAAAATAAACAGTAAAATGATGGCTCCAATGCACTCAGTTCTGGTATCGTCTGAAGAAGAACAAGACACTAGCGGAGATATAATAAATAAAATTAGAACAGCAATTGACGCTAAAATCACTGGGTTGAGAGTGGATAAACTACGGAAGGCCAGGGATCAAAAGGTAATAGTGGGATGCCAGACACATGACGAAGTTCAAAAAATTGCGGAAAGAATCAAAAGAGCATCCTCAAAATTGCTAGTACAAGAAGTCGAGAATAAAGACCCTCTGATAATTATGAGAGATGTTCTATCTTTAAATAAAGACGAAGATATTCTAGCAGCTCTGAAAAACCAGAATAAGCAACTCCTATCCGATATACCAGATGATCAATACAGAGCAGCAATTAAATATCGGAAAAAAGCTAGGAATCCGCATATTAATCATGTTGTAATTCAAGTATCCCCAAAAGTGTGGCAGAGACTGACAACAGTGGAAAAAGTCCACATTGACTTGCAACGTGTAATAGTAAGAGACCAATCACCGTTGGTACAGTGTACGCGGTGTCTGGGGTACGGTCACGGAAAGAAATTCTGTAAAGAGACACAGGATTTATGCAGCCATTGTGCCGGACCCCATGTTAAGGACGACTGTCCATTATGGGCAGTAAAAGAACCACCGACATGTCGCAATTGTTTGCACGCAAAAAGCGAAAGGGCAGACCACAATGCATTTGACGACAGTTGCCCTATCCGAAGGAAATGGGACGCGATCGCGAGATCGAGTGTAGCGTATTGCTGAAATCGATACAACGAATTATGGGACCACCAGTGATGAAGAATCATTAAGAAATCCACAGGACTACCGTATTATACAAGCAAATCTCCAGAGGAAGAAATTAGCAACTAAAGAGTTAATGATAGAAGCAGAACAAAGAAAAATTAATATCGCTTTGGTACAGGAACCATATATTGGAGCATTAGGGGAACTTAAACAAGAAAAAGGGACAAAAGTAATTCAGTGTACAAGAAACAGAACTAAACCTGTAAAGGCAGCAGTAATAGTTTTTGATCAAAATATTATTGTCATAGAGGATCCAACACTCGTAACGGAGAATATAGCAGTGGCTCAATTAAAAACGAATAAGTGGGAATTAGGAGTCATATCGGTCTATTTTGAGGACAGTTTACCTATCGAACCCTATCTCGCACAACTGAAAACTATCATTGAAAAACTAAAAACAAAATACGTACTAATAGGAGGTGATTTCAATGCATGGAGTACGTGGTGGGGAAGTGCTAGGGAAGATCATAGGGGGAGAGGAATTGGCAGGAATGATAGAGGATACAGGTATGCACATATTAAATGAAGGAAATGAACCCACATTTGATACTATTAGGGGTGGGAATATCTATCAGAGTATAGTAGACGTAACAATCAGTAGCGAAAATTTATTAAGTAAAGTGAAGGATTGGAGAGTAAATAAAGCTATTATAAGTTCTGACCACAACTGTATAACATTTAAACTAGCATTGTTAAAACCTACGGAAAATAATAATTTTAAAAGTACTAGAATATATAATACTAAAAGGGCGAAATGGACAGATTTTAAAAATAAACTATGTGAAACACTTAAAATGAAAAATATTGGTGAAGAAGAGATAACAGAACTAAAATCAAAGGAAAAACTAAAAACTACAATTAATACATATATAGAATGTGTTAAGGAAGCAAGTGATTCGAATATCCCAAAAATTAAAACTAGAAATAAAATTACTATACCGTGGTGGACAGAAGAGCTTAATAAGTTAAAAAAAGAAATGACAGTGAAGAAAAGAAGAATATCGTATGCTGCCTCTCGTCGTCGGCGCTACGTAGTAGAACAATATTTGGAGATAAAAAATAAATATGAAGAAGAAGTAGCACAAGCACAAATCAACAGTTGGAAAAAGTTTTGCGGTAAGCAGGATAGGGAAAGTCTATGGGACGGGATCTATAGAGTAATCAGGAAAACATCAAAAAGACACGAGGACATACTGTTAATTAGGGAAGGTAAATCGTTGGATGCAGAGGAATCAGTGAAACATATGGCGGAGACATTTTTCCTCGATGACAATTTGGAAAACGAAATACCAGAACAATATCATACACGAATGAAAGCTAACAGAATGTGCACTCAAACTACAGATGATATTTGGGATGTTCCATTTACAGCAACCGAATTACAATTTGCTACCAGCAGCTTCCATCCAAGGAAGGCGCCAGGTTCAGATGGCCTCACAGCGGACATCTGTGCCGCGGCGATAAACGTTGATAAGCAGATATTCTTAGCCTTGTTGAACAAGTGCTTAGAATTATCATACTTTCCGGATCCATGGAAGGAAGCTACTGTGTTAGCACTTAGAAAACCGGGAAAAACGGATTACTCTCTCGCGAAATCATATAGGCCGATAGGGCTCCTCTCTGTCATGGGTAAGATCCTAGAAAAGATGATGGTGAGAAGACTAAAATATTACATTTTGCCAAAATTAAATCCCCGTCAGTATGGGTTCGTCCCACAGCGCTGTACGGAGGACTCCCTCTATGACTTGATATTACACATCAAGAACAATCTGAGAAATAAGGAAATAAGTATTGTAATATCCTTAGACATAGAGGGGGCCTTCGACAGCGCGTGGTGGCCTGCTATTAAAAATAGACTGATGGAGATAAAGTGTCCTGTGAATCTACGTAGATTAGTAAATAGTTATTTTACAGATAGGAAAGTTACAGTTAGATATGCGAACGAAGAATTTACAAAAAATAATACAAAAGGGTGCATTCAAGGCTCGATTGGTGGTCCCATATTTTGGAATTTGCTATTGGATCCGTTGCTAAATGAACTAGAAGAGCGTGGAGTGTATTGCCAAGCCTTCGCCGACGATATCGTTCTGATCTTCTCGGGTCACGTGACAAGCGATATTAAAATAAATGTAGATGAAACTCTTTCACACATATATGAATGGGGATCAAAAAATAAATTAAAATTTGCCCCACAAAAAACTTATGGTATGATAGTAACAAATAAATTGAAGTATGAAACCCCGCAATTGTTCATGGGAGGTAAAGAAATAAAACTAGTAGATGAGATAAAAATATTAGGCCTAATCATCGATAAAAAATTGAAATTTAATAGTCATGTTTCCTATATTTGTCAAAAATCCATAAATATTTATAAATTACTGGCTCGTGCAGCAAAAATTTCATGGGGGCTTAAACCCGAGGTGATCAGAACGATTTACGTATCAGTTATTGAACCAGTTATAATGTATGCCGCAAGCGTTTGGGCACCAGCTGCCCACAAAATAGCAATCAAAAACCAGCTAAACGCAGTGCAGAGGGGATTTGCACAAAAAATTTGTAAATCATATCGCACGGTCTCACTAAACGCAGCATTGATACTCTCAGGACTACTACCTTTAGATTTAAGGTTACGCGAAGCTGCATATTTGTATGAAGCAAAACGCGGTAAACCAGATGCTAACCTACTTAAAGACAGAGAGATCGAAGGAAAAGTAAGCTTTTTAGAAATGATGCATCCAGCCTGCGAAGAAGAAATTGACTTTGAAGTAATAGAGAATACAACATCAGAAAAATTAGAGGAACCACATACAAACAGCATACGAATATTCACCGATGGAAGTAAAATTGAGGGCAAGGTTGGAGCTGCAATCTCTATTTGGAGAAATAAACAAGAAATAGATAATAAAAAATTCAAATTAGATTCATTCTGCACTGTCTTTCAGGCTGAACTGTACGCAATGCATCAAGCTATTCAAAAAGCAAAGAATTACCAAAGTACTTACATATACAGTGATTCAAGATCTGCACTGGAACTTGTCAAAAATCAATCAGCATATCAACCGTTGGCTTTCGAAATTAGGCGAGATATCGCTAAATTAAGAAGTCAAAACAGGAGGATAGGGCTGTATTGGGTTAAAGCACATGTAGGTATTCCTGGAAATGAACGCGCAGATGAACTCGCAAAGGAAGCAGCTTTAAAATTAAAAACAAAATTAAATTACGCAAAATGTCCGATTTCGTTCATAAAGAACCAAATTAGACATAAAACAATTAAGGAATGGCATAAGAGATATTTAACAGAAGAAAAAGCCGAAATTACAAAAGTATTTTTTCCAGACGTAGAAGCAGCATATCGCATCCTAAAACAAATTAATTTAACGCCAATATTAGTACAAGTTTTCACCGGTCATGGAGGCTTTGCAGATTATTTGTTCCGTTTTAAAATAAAATCTAGACCAGACTGTACGTGTGATAACAACCAACCCCAATCTTCTCTGCACATAATTATAGACTGCCCTCAATTTTGCAAAAATAGAGCAGACGTGGAACTGCAGATAGGATTAAAATTGACAAAAGAAAATATACATAACATAATGGAAGACAAACGCGGCAGAAACATTTTCACAAAATATTGTATAACCGTAGCAAATAAAATCATAAAAACTAATAAAAGTACCTAAACAAGAACAAGATAAAATTAATTTAGAATATAGAATAAGATACATCAAACAAAAAGTACAATAAAAAAAAAACCTTGGTAAAAAAAGGACAAAAAAAAAAAAAAAACAAGAGAGTAAGAAAACTATATAATTAGACATATGAGTACATATGTCCTAATATTATATAAAATAAGTATGCAACATAATAAGAAAAAAAAAAACAAGAGAATTTAATTAGAAATAGTGTAGAATATTAAAAAAAAAAAAAAAGAATTAATAAAATAAGAATTAACCACATTTGTAATCGATAAAAAAGGAAAAGTAACAACAAAAATATACTTAAACAAAAAATCAAAGTACCGAAAAGCACCTTATATTGAAAAAACAAAAAACGTAGTTCATAGAACACAGAAAAAAAATAAAAAAAAAAAAGAAGAGAAAAAAAAGCTATATAAAAATAATGAAAAATTAAAATAAACATAAATATATAAAAAAAGCAATCAGCTACATAAGGTCTCCGATCAACATGTCGGAGGATAATAGTATAAAATAAAAACAAAAAAAAAAAAAAAAAAACTTAACCTAACCTAACCTAACCTAACCCAACCAGTCCGGTGTCAACTGCCGTTCCGAACGCCACGTTTTTAAAGTGCTCCGCGATTAAAAATTCGATAAAATAGGTTTTTTAGATCCGATTTTGGTGTGTGATACGTCAAAAGACGCGTCTTGACTCGCGCCTTATATATGAGAAAACAGTGTTAAAGTTAGAGTGAAAGTGAAAAAGATATTGTGAAAAAAGTGAAATTTGAAAAATTTAAAATCTTTGAATTGAAACGCTGCGTGATTAATCGCCTTAACCATTACTTTTTAAAGTGTGGCCTTAAAGCCATTGCTGGCCCCTACATACATGCAAAATTTGGGATTTTTCTGAGCTACAGTCTCAGAATAAAAGGCAAAAAAACAAGTCCCACGTGGGCACGTGTTTTGTGAAGGAGAATCGTGCGGCTACTTTTGGAGTCGAATTCTGGTGGCCAGAGTGGAGAGGAGCCGGAAGCAGTTTTTGAAACTTTCATAAGTTAAGTGGCTAAAGAGATATTGAACTTTTAAATTTTTTCAAAATTTCGTAATTTAATTTCTCAAAAACTAAAGTGAAGACCTACAGTTTTTATAATAAAATAGTATAAAGATTAATAATAGAAATGTTTATAAAAAATTTGAGATTTTTCTTGTAAGTAGTTTGTAAATTAGGATTTTTTAAATTATTTAGTTGAACACGTGGTACCTTATATTACGTGTAAATAAGTTGAAAAACATATAAACTTGTTAAGGACAATGCAAATAACGTATCAAAATTTTTGTAGATTTTTAAAACGAAACTTGGCCATAAAAATCTATAAATTTTAAAAAAATTATACAATTTTCGTTAAAAATTTAATTAAATGGGGCTTAAAACGCCAAGATATCTATTTATTTTAAACCTTGACACTGAGACCTTTTAGATGAGTCCAAAGACGGACCGAATCGGATAAAGGACGCCCAAAATAGCCTTTGCTTTCTGGACCGGCGGCCATTTTGAAAAATTTAAAAGGCCCATAACTCCCGAACTAGAAGTCTCAGAAGACTGGGATTTTGACTAAAGATATCAGCAACGACTTTTAGAACAAGCCAAAAGTTTTTTTAGGAAGTTCAGGTTCCAAAAATTTGGTACCCTGAAAGCTATATCACATAATAAACCTAGTTGAGCCTAACAAAATGTACCCAAGCACGGGGCTGTAAGCCTATTCGTTCGGAAGTTACAGCACTTTAACCATACTTTTGGCAGCCATCTTGTTTTGGAACCAGAACTTCAAAGCGCGGTAACTTTGGAACCTCTTTGGCTAGTTATATCGAGTTTGGGGTCTTTGAAAAGGGCTCGAAAAGCGCTTTTTGGCTGGTTATGTAAAATATACTCTACGTAGAGCCCAAAACTTGTTAGCCAAAAACTCGGGAAAAAACGGTCCTAAAGAGAAAAAATTTTTTTGCTCGTCTGCACATACTATTGTGCGTCATTGACCAAGACTCTACATAGAGTAACAATTGTACTCCCTTTATATGTGTGATATATAGATTATTTTTATCATATTTTTACATTTTACTTTATAAATTAAGTTTTATAGTTAAGTTTATATTTTGACTTTACTCTAGTCCTACCTTGTATTGTAACATCGCATTTTTTTTATAGTTTTATTTGACTTCAGAAAGAAATTATTTTCTTTCTTTAACTTTCTAGTATTAAAAATTTAACAATTTGTTAAAAAAATTGTTTAATGAAATCCGTGACCTCCCCGTGAAATTTTTCTCTTAATTTACAGTTTGCTGATTTAATTACATACCCCTTTACTTACGGTCTTTTTGACGCTACACGGACACATAACTCCAAAACGCTTGGAATTAGAACACCAACCAAATCGACACGGACTGAAAAGTCACCTCCTAAAACAGGAAGTGAAACTTCAAAAGTAAGACGTAGCATAGATGACTGGGAAGCTAACATTGATTCCACCCCATCCATGACTAGCACGACGATGCAGGCGGGTACTGCTAAAACAAAACAAACGGTATCGGCGTCACAAAACAGTAAAATTACGCATAAAGTGTCTGTACAAGTACACACTCCGCCAAAGCAGCAATATGAAAATCGAACAATGGAAGCAAAGGCTTGTTTAACAAAAGGCAAGCTCCATTTGAATGCCTCTCGAAATACAAAAACAGAGATAAAAAATAGCATTATAGAAGCACTAGATCGGTTATATCAGCTTGTTAAAGAAGCTGAAATAGAGCTAAAGGCGAAAAAGTCAAAAGGAGAAAAGGAAAAGAGTGAAAAGGTGGAGCTGGAAACTGCAATCATTGATTCTACCTTCTCAGTCGTGGATTCAGACCTAAAAACAAGGATTGAAGAGCACGCAATATTGCTGTTAGAAACAAATAATAAGATGGAAGAGTTGAAAGAATCGATGGAAAAGCAAAGAGGAACCCTAGAGCGAGTGACAGTGCCAACATACGCAAATGTTACTGCAGACAAAATCATAAAAACTTTCCCAAAATGTAGTACCCTACATTCCGTAGTAGTTTCATCAAAAGATGAAACTGAAACCGGGGAAGAGGTGATGGATAAGGTCAGAAAAGCAGCTGATGCAAAAGAAGGGCGGATAAAGGTTGGAAGGGTAAGGAAAGCAAAGGATAGAAAAATCATTATGGGCTTTGAATCAAAAGAGGATAGGAACAAAATGAAAATCCGGCTTGAAAAAGAAGGAGTAAATCTCACCATCGAAGAAGTCAAAAACAAAGACCCACTTTTGATCCTCAGAAATGTATTTCTTGTTAACACAGACGAAGACGTCATGAAGGCTCTGAGGAATCAAAACCGCGGTGCCTTTCACGGTCTCGAAGAAGGTGAGATCAGAATGGAAATAAAATGTAGGAGAAAAACAAGAAATCCCCACACCAGCCATATTGTTGTCAGTGTTTCGCCTATCATCTGGCAAAAAGTTATCGAAATTGGGAGTGTCCATATTGATTTACAACGTGTTAGAGCAGAAGACCAATCCCCTCTGGTGCAATGCACCCGCTGCTTAGGATATGGAGACGGTAAGAGGTTCTGTAAAGATTTATCGGACCTGTGCAGCCACTGTGGTGGCCCCCACTTAAGATCCGAGTGTAGTGACTGGCTTGCTGGTGAACCACCCAAGTGTCGAAACTGCTCAAAAGCAAAACTGTACCAGACAGAACACAACGCTTTTAACTCGAATTGCCCAACACGTCGGAAGTGGGATGAACTAGCCCGATCAACTATAGCGTATTGCTAAAGGTGCACAAGTTCAACAAACCCACTATAAAATAATTCAAGCGAACCTCCAGCGCAAAAAGTTAGCAACTCACGAACTTTTTATTGAAGCTCAGAAGCGTGGAGCTGATATAGCACTACTTCAAGAACCGTATGTGGGTGGTGCTAACGCCATGAAAGGCCAAAGAGGTGCGAGGGTTTTCCAAAACTCTAGCCCAGGAGAAGGGACTGTTAAGGCAGCGGTAGCCGTTTTCAACATTGACTTAAACGTAAAACAGTACCCAAAACTCACCACAAACAACATCATTGTGATGGGAATTCAAACCAGAGCTTGGGAAATAACACTCGTCTCGTATTATTTCGAACCAGATCAGCCCATAGAACCCTACATTGATCACCTCAAAAAGATAGAACAAGAAATTGGATCTACAAAATGGATTGCTGGAGGTGACGCAAACTCAAAAAGTATATGGTGGGGAAGCCCGACCGTTGACCACAGAGGAGAAGAATTGGCAGGAGCCCTCGAGGAGCTGGGCCTGAATATACTAAACAGCGGGAAAATTCCGACCTTTGACACCATCCGAGGAGGAAAACGATACTTCAGCTACGTCGACATAACAGCCTGCTCGACAGACATTTTGGACTTGGTAGAGGACTGGATAGTTGATGAGGGTCTCACGAGCTCAGACCACAACGGAATTGTTTTTAATATTCGGCTTCAAAAATCAATAGGTTTAAGAGTAAATAGAACGACGAGATTGTTTAATACCAAGAAGACAAATTGGCCTAAGTTTCATGTGAAACTTAAGCAATTGCTGTCAGAAATTAAATTCACCAAACCAGAAATAGAAAAAATTGAAACCATACAACAAATAGATATAGCAACAGATAAATTAACTAAATCAATAACAGAAACTTGCAAGCAAACAATGCCAACCAAAAAAGCTACAGAAGAGCTTAACTTGCCGTGGTGGTCTGAGAAGCTCGCCGAGATGAAAAAGGAAGTCACTACCAAGAAACGTAGGATTAAATGCGCAGCCCCAGTCCGTAGACAGAAGGTCGTAAAAGAGTACCTGGAACAAAAAGAGAGGTATGAGTCAGAAGCGGTCAAAGCTCAGATCGAGAGCTGGAAAGACTTTTGCTGCAAACAGGATAAAGAGGGGGTCTGGGAGGGTATCTATAGGGTAATTGGGAAAACAATGCGCAGGGATGAGGAAGTGCCACTGGAAATGAACAATGTGGTGTTGAACGCACAAGGGTCAGTGAAGTTACTGGCGGAAACTTTCTTTCCGGAAGACCAAACAGAAGGTGAAACCACTTATCATCGCATTATAAGAACAAAAGCTGACAAAGTGAATTCCATCGAGTAAGATGACCTCTGTGATCCTTTGTTCACAATGTCAGAATTGAAACAGGCGTATCAATCATTCAACCCCAAAAAGGTTCCGGGAGCGGACGGTTTCACGGCCGATATATGCCTACATGCTATTGAAAGCAACCCTGAGCTTTTTCTGGCCTTCCTCAATAAATGCTTTATGCTACAACACTTTCCAGAAACCTGGAAAAAAGCTACTGTTATAGTGCTTAAAAAACCAGGCAAAGTAGACTACACTATTCCAAAAGCGTACAGGCCTATTGGACTGCTACCTATATTGGGAAAGATTTTCGAGAAAATGCTAGTGGCCCGCCTCACCTTTTGCCAAGGATGAGTACTCGCCAGTACGGGTTCAAGCCACAGAGGAGCACTGAAGACTCCCTCTATGTATTAATGCAGTTCATCCATATGAAGCTAGATCAAAAGAAAATCATAGCACTAGTATCATTGGACATAGAGGGGGCTTTTGATAGCGCCTGGTGGCCAGCCATACGAGTTCGACTGGCTGAGGAAAGGTGTCCGCTAAATTTGAGGAGGGTTATGGATAGTTATCTCAGGGACAGGAAAGTCGTAGTCAAATACGCTGGAGAGGAATACACCAAGGGCACAAACAAAGGTTGTGTCCAAGGATCCATAGGAGGCCCAATCCTATGGAATCTCTTATTGGACCCTCTCTTGAAAAGTTTGGAATGCAGGGGAGATTATTGTCAGGCATTTGCGGATGACGTCGTTTTAGTCTTCGACGGCGATACGACACACGAGGTGGAGAGACGTGCCAATGCCACTCTCGAACATGTCCGGGCGTGGGGTGTTAAAAATAAACTGAAATTTGCTCCACATAAAAAAAATGTGATGATTTTAACTAGGAAACTGAAATACGTCACACCACGCCTAAGCATGGGAGGTACTGACATTGGCACGTCAAAAGAAATAAAACTACTGGGTGTAACTTTTGACGATAAACTCACTTTTAATACCCATGTAGCCAATGTGTGTAGAAAAGCAATCGGCATCTACAAACAACTTTGCAAATCGGCGAAGGTTAGTTGGGGACTTCATCCGGAAGTAATAAGAATAATATATCTTGCCACCGTAGAGCCAATTATTCTTTACGCTGCTAGCGTCTGGGCACAAGCTGCAAAAAAGCTGGGGGTAATTAAACAACTTTCCGTAGTCCAACGCGGTATTGCGCAAAAAATATGCAAAGCCTACCGAACGGTCTCTCTGAATTCGGCGCTAGTACTGGCTGGAATACTCCCCCTGGACCTCCGAGTCCGTGAGGCGGCTTCATTATATGAAGCCAAGAGAGGGGTGCCCCAGCCAGGGTTGGCGGGAAGGGAAGTCGAGAGAATGGCTTCAGCTGTTGAGGGCGCACACCCTGCTGAGCGTCTGGAATTAGAAGTCACAAGTTTGGTAAATGAGAAACAGGTGAACAGATACAGCAAACTAGACGTCCACATATTTACGGACGGGAGCAAAATTGAGGGCAAGGTTGGCGCTGCCCTTTCCGAATGGAGAAACAAAACCGAAAATAAAGCTCTCAAACTTGCTCTATCAACATACTGTACAGTATATCAAGCCGAGCTTTTGGCCATTTGCAGGGTGACTAGGCGAATACTCAAACACAGCGCGTCCTCCTTTGGAATTTACAGTGACTCAATGGCGGCCCTTCAAACGATCAAAAACCCAAACTGCCTGCACCCGTTAGCCGTGGAATGCAGAGATAACTTAAGATCAATAACTCTCCAAGACAAAGTAGTAACTTTGTTTTGGATTAAAGCCCACGCGGGCTTAGAGGGGAATGAGCGAGCAGATGGTCTAGCAAAAGAGGCTGCTAAAAATTCCAAAGTGAGACCGGGTTACGATCTTTGCCCGGTTTCGTTCGTCAAGCGAAGCATTCGAGTAGCAACGCTGGACGAATGGAATCGAAGATATCAGATTGGCGAGACAGCAAACATTACAAAGTTGTTTTTCCCAGACGTGAAAATGGCCTACCGAATTGTAAGAAAATTCGAAGCAAGCAGCGTGACGACTCAAATCATGACGGGGCACGGTGGATTTTCGGAATACTTACACCGTTTTAAGTGTAAAGAGAATCCATCGTGCATCTGCGACTACGAAGTTGAGGAAACTGTGCCACACATTTTGCTGGAGTGTCCCGTATATGCCGCAGAGCGCCTGAAAATAGAAAATGAAATTAAATTAAAGTTAATAAAAGAGAATATAAGTATTATAATGATTAGTAAATATAGAGAAAAATTTATGAGTTATTGTTTAAAAATCGCAAAAAGAGTAATGACTAGGAATAAAACTGTTTAAGAAAAGATGCTGTCATAATATATTGTATTATATTACAGATCAGCATTATAAATAAATTGTAATATGTATAATAATAAATTATATAGAATATAAGCAATAACTAAGAAAAATATTAGTCGAGTAAGTAATAAATAAGTTGTCACTGCCCCTAGCATTAAGTATCCGAATATATTGTTTGCATGCATTAGATTAAGAGTAGCAGGACTCCCGAACGAAAACCCGGAGTCCTCTACACCCTTCATTATATCAAGGACAGAGGAAATAAAAAAAAACAAGAATTTAAAGTCCGTGTCGAGCTGACAATGTCTCTGACCTTTATGTCAGAGGGAAACAGCAAAGCATATAAAAAAAACCTAACCAACCTAACCTAACCTAACCTTTTTTTTTTTTTTCGTGGGGAAATCCTCATGGATACCTTTGGCTGCGGGGGGCACCCAAAAGGTTGTGCCGGACTCCTACCGGCTAAAACCCCACGGTGGTCTCCATCATCGTGTAAAAGGGGTCCCGGGATC